CGAGCCGACCCTGGACGAAGTCGAGGCTCTCGAAGCGGCCTTGCTTGAAGAAGATAGGCTTCTTGTTCGTCACGCGTTCCACGATGTGATGGACCGTGGCAAGGTCAGGAAACTCCAACTCCACGCTGTGCCCCTTTGCGTGGGTGTTGGCCAGAATGCGATGGCAACGCACGCATGCATCCTCGTCCTCCTGATCCTCCCCGCGCCTGGCACGGGCGCGCGCACGTTCATCGCTGCTCTGTGCGGCCCCTGGGCCGTCGTCGGCGTCCTGGCGCAGGCTCGGCGCAGGCATGCTTTTGGGCCTGGGGTGCATAATGATCCGCTCTGGCGCGTCCGCTCGACCCTCCACTGGATGCCTCTGGGCAGGCACCGACTGGGGAGCACGGCGCCATGGAGCGCGGCCACGACGCTCCTCGGCACTGCCTGCCATGCCAACCCAGTGGATGATCGGTCCATGCACCTGCCTTGGAGCCGGCGGCTTCACAGAGCTCCGCTGGTTGGGCGACGCTGGCTGGCCATTCTTAGGCCCGATCTCGTTGCACGGCTCGCGCTCGCCACTCTTCACCTCGGGGCACTCTGGGTCGCCACGCCAGTGGCCAGGCTGATCGCAGTCAGCACACCGGCTGTTAGCCTTGCGCTGGTCTGTCGGCTTCCGACCAGCCTGGAAGGAGCCGCTGGCGTTGACCTTCTTGGGGCCCCGCTGCCGAGGAGCAACGAACCCGCGCTTCTGACGCTGTACCGCCGTCTTCTGATTGGCCCTCCAGCCGGCCAAGAACGCTTCCTGAAGATCCTCCGGTGCCTCGCACTCCTCGTCATCTGGCCCGTCGTTGTCCGACGCCAGCTCCTCTTCGACCTCGGCGCCTTCCTCGAAGAAGGTGCCCTCGGCCCCTCCGAGATCTCCTTCGTCCTGGTCGTCTGCTTCATCTTCGTCATGCTGCGCCTCCTCCAAGTCGCCGTGGTGTTCATCGTAGTCTTCGCCGTTCTCTACCTCGTGTACGTGCTGGCCAGAGCGTCCTCGCAGCACGCACGGCCTACGAGCCATGGGAGGGTGCGGATAGCGACCGCCCGAACTCCCAGAGGAGCGCCCGTGCTCACGCTGCGCCGCAAACGGCGAGCGGCGAGGGAGCACTGAGCGCTTCTCGGTGTCGTGCACCTTCGAGTAGGCTGCCTTCAGCACGACCTCCATCCGCTTCGAGTCGTAGATGCCGCCACAGTTGAAGAGCACCTGCGCTCGCTCCTTCTGCGACAGTCCAGCGCCACGAAGCATCTTGCTCGCCAACGCGCGATCGCTGATCGCTGATGTGGGATCCTCGAGCTGCAACTCCATGCGCTTCTTGCGCAAGTACGTGGTCCAATCCATGATCGGCTGCCCAGCTCGACGGTGTGCTCGCTCCCACTCCTGATGCACCTGATCGAGGCGCTCGTGATCCATCTTCTCGAAGGCGTCGTCGTAGATAGCAAAGATGGTCTCAAGCGTCTCCTCGCGTCGGAGGTCCGACGCATCAAGCACCTCGATGAGCTCTTTGGCTCGACCTGTCACTTGACTGTAGATGATCAGGCCCAGCTCCACATCTGAGAGCTGGTTGAGGTTGCGGATGACTTCAACCTCCTTGCGCCACTCTCGGTACTTCTTAGTACTCGTACCGACTGCACCATCGAACTCTGGGAGCTTCACCTGCGACAGCAGTAGACGTGCCCGTCTGGGACCGCCGTCGCCACCACGATCCCGATGTAAGGCCAGGAGCTCCCGCTGGGTCTCGGCCATTACGCGCAGGACTGCATGCAGGTCCGGGGGACCTGTGCCAGCAGAGGACGCAGCCTCCACATCTGAGCCGTCTTGACTAGCTGCCATGGCGGCCCGCGCGGGTGGTCACAGCCACCGAAGCAGAGCACGCAGTGCGTCCGCTGGAGCTTACAAGTTCCGCTACCAATGTCAGTGCAGTTCTTTTAGTTCGGACTGCGCGGCAGTCAAAACTGCGGGTGCGTCCCAGGGCCCTAGGACTAGGGCCAAAACAGCGGCGGGCAGCGTGCATGCCACAAAACAAGACAAGCGTGTACAACATACACACATGGTGGCACGGGCGGCAGAGGGGCAGGGGAGTGCACTCTTCACATCATCATCATCATCGTCAACATCGTCATCGTCATCGTCATCGTCATCGGCATCGTCATCGTCGTCGTCGTCGTCATCGTCATCGTCGTCATCGTCATCGTCATCATCATCACCATGATTATCCGGAGCGCCCCGGATCGGCGGCACTGGCCGGAGGCCAGTAAAATATATCCAAATCCACCGCCTGCCGAGGTCCCCAAAGATCAATCCCCCCAGGCGGTGCTTGTGGATAAATCTCCGTCCTGGGGCCAAACTCCCCAAGCTCACAGAACATAACAAACGCCCAGATTACCTCCTTTGCCCCTCTCCTGAGGGGAGCCAGGCTGAGCGGGGGAGGGCTGGGGCCTGCAATCACCGACAGATTGGCAATAGATCCCCGATGGCGAAACCGCACATTCCTCAGCACGGCAGGGCAACACTGTCCCGATCGGCGATGAATGAGAGTTCGATGTCTCTGACGCCCCCGACTTCACTGACATCTGCCAGTCTGAGTTCTTCAACCCGCGGCCCCAACGAAGACCCGACCGCTTCCCGGGGGGCTGGACGTCCTGGGTCCGTTTTTGGTGGTCCTGGGGCCCGTCAACGAGCCCGGGAGGCCGAAGTCGAGAAAAGACACACAGATAAAAACAAAAACAAAAAAAAAACAAAACAAAAAAAAACGTCAGAGAGCCAGGTTTCGCTCGATCACCACAACCGCCACCGCCTCCCCAGGCTTCCGAGGCCATGGCTTCTTCGTGACGTGGGCCGCCATAGCTCCGATCCCTTCCACGGCATCAAAATGTCTGCAGCATCTCATGGGAGCCTCCCACGCATCTTGCTGGCTCTTGCGAATCGACGCTAAACGGCGCGAGTCGACGCTTATTGACGCTAAATCGACGCTAATCGATGCTGAATTGGCGTTTTCACATCGATTGCCAGACACTGATGCATTCTAAAGGCGGCATCTCGAGTACATACATTCTTTTTGATGAGGGCCCCCACTGGCCCACAGACGGCCTCAGGACGTCGACAAAAGCTCCAGGCGCGACTTGCTCCTTCTCGCCAGAAGCCTGGGCCGCCCCGTCAGACCTCGCCTCTCCTGCGCCTCCCTGGGGGCGCGTTCCGACCAGGATCTCGAGGCGGATGCGGCCGTGGCGACGGCAGCGCTGCAGGCGGCGCGGAACAAGCCAACAAAAATACCCAAAAACCTCAGCCTCGATCCTGGGCCAATGCCCCCCTCCCGGTGCACCTGCATAGAAAGACAACTGCAAGCATAAACTGTAGGAGCTCCGAGCGGATTTCTTGGATCGGCGCTGGGACCCTCTGGCGGCGCTGGAGGCGCCACCCCTTGTGCGCTTCGCGCGCCAGTGAGGGCGGTCCAGCGCCGATCAAAGAAATCCGCGCGGACCTCCGAAAGTGTGTTTATCTGTGTGCCGTGACTTCTTCTTCGTCTTCTTATTGTTCTAGCATTGCGATTATTATGATCAGTCTTAGCGTTATTAATGATAACATTGCCATTAATATTATTATTCTTAACATTATTGTGAGTGGTAGTGTGATTCGTCTTCTTATTATTTTTCCTTATGCCCCAGATTATTTCTGTGACGATTGCTAATGATATAGTTATTCGCAACTGGTCGGATATTGCCAGGGGCAGCTCGGCCCAACGTGCCCACAGCTTCCCGCGCCACTTCGGAGCCCCCGCGACGACCCCCAGGGCCTCGTGGAGGGGCGCCGCCTTGAGAGGCCTCCTTGATGGGGTCCAAGCAGATGGGGTCGGAGGATCGGCGACGTCGGTGACGCATCGGCGACACATCGGCGACGTCGACGCGGAGAAACTCGAGCTCCACATCGAGCCGCATCGCCGATGCATCGGCGATAAAGCGTGATCCTCCGACCCCCATTTACTCGAACCTCGTCTGGGAGCCTAGAGCCTTGGAGCCGACCCTTGGATATCACCAGCCTCGAACCTATCCCTATCCCTAAGATTGGCAAGCCCAAGGCGATGACAGTCTTGGGGATGTGCACTCAGAAACTGAGGGACTCTTTAAGATCGGCACCAAGGTAGGGTGATGCCAGACATAGGGATAGGGGCATGCTTCAAGCTGGTAAGGATCGTAAAAGAGGAAGTAGCGAATCGGCTGCACGCAGCTGCTTTCCCGGCGCTTCCTGGCTCCGGGGGGCGGCCGAGCATCGAGGAAGGCGCCCGCCGCCTGGCGGCGGGGACGAAACCGCCTGCATGCAGCAGATTTCGTGACCCCCCCCCGCTCCCCATCCCCCCCCCCCTTCGCCCGCCCCGAACCTTCTGGGCCACCCAACTTCGTGCGTCGCAGCCCCCGCGAGGCGCGACACGCGGGCATCTTCACGCCCTCTCGAGGCCCGACCTGGAGAGGAGGGCAGCGCTCCAGCCCACCGAGTCCAGGCCGCGACACGCGGAGCGCGCTCCTCTCTCCGCGCGGGCGGGGGAACGACGAGGTGGACTGGCTCGGGGCAGGAAACATCGACTCGGAATCGGCAGTACATCGCCGAGAGATCGGCGGTGGACACTCGATGGCGAAACCAAGCGTTCCTGGGCCGGGGTGGGCCGTCAGGACCCTGTCGGCGATGCGTGCGCGCTTTGGGGTCGTGCATCTCCCCTGGAGCCTATCGGGTAAGGAAGAAAAACTGCACAAGCATCAACTGTCGGAGATCCGCGTGGAGTTCTTGGATCGGCGCTTCACCCCTCGGGCTAAGCGCGCCAGGGGAAAAGCGCCGACCCAAAAAGTCCGCGCGGACATCCGGAAGGGCATGCATATGCCATCATTGCTTTTGATTCAATGATATACCCCCGTCAGTTTCCCTTTGGCAAACTAGAATCTTGGACCAGGGCCGCATCTGGCAACAGCCGACCCGGCTCTCCCTCCAGGTCCTGAGCTGGTGCCCCCACCATCGCGGGGGTCGGGTCGCTGCCCTGCGCGCTGGGCTCGGGAGACTCCTTCGCCGGGAGTGCGCGTGCAGCCCACGGGGGGGGATGCTCCTCAGCCCGACCCCCCAACTCTACCCCCTTCTCCTTGTTTTGGCACTAACGCAGGCTACGGAGAGCCGTGGCGCCTTCTCACAGCAAGCTGGTAGAAATCCGTCGACCCAGTCGGCGTGTGTGAGACGCTGTCGTCGTCTTCGTCGTCGCCGCCAATTCCAAGGAAATTCAAAAATGAACAGAGAAAAGAAACGTCGTGGTTAACGAGATTCCCTCCCCTTCTCTCCTACCTGACGGTGGGGGGTGGAGGGGGGTTACGGCGGGTAGAGGCACCAGGGGTGGGGGAAGGGGGAGGGGGATCGATAGGGGGGGGGGCCCAGGTGATGGAGAAGGGGGACAGGGTGGCGGTCTCCGTCGGCAGAAAAGCTCAGGACCCCTCCCCCCGCCTCGGCCCTGGCTCTGGCCCCGGTGCCGGCCCCAGCCCCGGCCCAGGCCCCCGCCCCGGCCCTGGCCCAAACCCTGGCCCTGGCCATGGCTCCCCGGCACCCTGCCTCGGCCTCGGCCCAGCCGCGGCCCTGGCCCCGGCCCCAGCCCTGGCCCCTTCTCCTCCTCCTCCTCCTCCTCCTCCTCCTCCTCCTCCTCCTCCTCCTCCTCCTCCTCCTCCTCCTCCTCCTCCTCTCCTCCTCCTCCCTCCTCCTCCTCCTCCTCCTCCTCCGTCCTCTCCTCCTCCTTCCTCCTCCTCCTCCTCCTGATCAACCTTCTTCTCCTCCTCTTTTCGCCTCCTCCTGCTCCTCCTCCTCTTCTTCCTCCTCCTCCACCTCCTCCTCCTCCTCCTCCTCCTCCTTCTCCTACTCCCCCTTCTTCATATCCCCTCCTCCCTCCTCCTCCTCCTCCTCCTCCTCCTCCTCCTCCTCCTCCTCCTCCTCCTCTCCTCCTCCTCCTCCTATCCACCTACTCCTCTCTCCTCCTCCTCCTCCTCCTCCTCCTCCTCGCCTCCTCCTCCTCCTCCTTCCTCCTCCTCCTACTCCCTCCTCTTCCTCATCCGCTTCCTCCTTTCCTCGTCCGCCTCCTCCTCCTCCTCCTCCTCCTCCTCCTCCTCTTCTTCCTCCTCCATTCCTTCTGCTTATAAATTCGCCGGCCCAACGGGCCAGAGGCGTGCTAAGATCTCCGGTAACTGGTTAAGAATTCTCTAGTTCGCGCGCGCGGGGCGGCCCCTGGGGGTCCCCGGACGAAAAGTACCCCGGCAAGGTCCTGAGAGAGTCCCGGGAGGAGTCCCCCAGAGCGCTCCAGGAGCGCTCCATGAGCGCACCAACAGGGCTCCGAGACGTCCCCGAGAGCCCCAAGAAAGGCCAAGAGGCCCCCAAGAGGCCCCCAAGATGGTACACGAGGGGTCCGACATGCCACAAGATCGCTCCAAGACGCCCAAGATAGCCCCCAGACGCCCCAAGAGGCCTCCCAGAGCACTCCCAAGAGGGCCCCCGGAGGCAAAATTCATTGTTTTTCCTTAGGTTTTTGAGAGATTTTGGAGCTTCCACCTTTTCGGTTCCCGACGCCCCAAGACGGCCCCAGAGGCCCCCAAGATCGCCCCAAGAGGGCCCAAGAGGCCCCCAAGAGGGCCCCAAGATGGCCCAAGAGGGCTCGAAGACGGCCCAAGAAGCCTCCAAGACGGTCCAAGAGGGCCCCAAGAACACCCCCAAAGGGGCCCCAGAGAGGGAACACGACACAAAATTTCGCGCCCTCGGCCCTAAGAAGCCCCTACGAGGCCCCAAGAGGCCCCTAAGAGGCCCCAAGAGGCCCCCACGAGGCCCTCAGGAGGCCCCCAAGAGTCCCCCAAGCGGCCCCAGGAGGCCCCCCAAATGCCCCCCCGAGCGCCCCAGGAGTCCCCCAAGCGGCCCCAGGAACCCCCAAAGCGCCGCATTGACACCAAGCCCTCGGGCAAACGGCAGACATGAGACCGTATGGGCCGGCGGAATGAGCGAAGCGATTCAATAACTTCTCCCTGTCGCACCCCGAGGCCAGTTTTTAGGGCGGGCCAGGCGTTTCGCCTGAGACTTCCTAACCAATTATGATTCTGACGCTGGAAAATTGGCAACAGTTTCACAGGTTGAAGGGCGGGGCGTTTTCAAAATGTGATTCTCGCCTTAGCGCCGCGCACATTCGTTGCAACAATTGCAAAAACAGTTTCACTGATTGAAGGCGGTTCCTTTTCACAATGTGGTTCTCGCCTTAGCGCCGCGCACATTCGCTCATAAGCTGTACAAGAATTTCACGGATTCCCACGACCAACGTACCAAAAATAGTGTGTCGGAAAGATTCCGGATTATGCGGGTGTAACAGCTACGTTGATTCGCGGTGTTGAAGTCCCAGGAATGGCGTTCTGGCACGATCTAGGATCGTCAAAACGCAACAATCAGTTTGATCCGTGGCGTTAGAATCCCGAGAACAATGTTTATGCATGCTTCAGGGTCTTCAAAATGTCGTCTTCCAACGAAGCAAGTTCCTCAATTGAAATGAACCGGTACAGGGGCCTAGTAGAAGAGGAAGCTTGGAGGGAGGGTTTGTTCCAACATCGTTGATGCCTCTTGGGTTTATACTGGTCTTCCTCCTCCTCCTCATCCGCCTCCTCCACTTCCTCCTCCGCCTCCTCGTTCTCCTCCTCCTCCTCCGCCTCCTCCTCCTCGTCATCCTCCTCCCTCCACCGCCTGCCCGCTCGTGGCAGGGTCATCAGCTCGTCGTTATCGTTGTCGTCGTTCGTCGTCGAAGTCGTGGTCGGTGGCACCTGCCTTAAGGCCTTCACAAAAAATAAAAACGCACGGACAAGGCCAAGCTCAAGCTCTTACCACCTTGGTTCAGACTTAGCGGCACAGGGGTTGCGAGGAAAAACAAAGTGGAGAAGCCCGCAAGGGCGAGAGTAGTAGTAATGCGATCCTTTATCCTCCTCCTCCTCCTCCTCCTCCTCCTCCTCCTCCTCCTCCTCTTCCATCCTCCACCCCATTCACGTATGATGAATATCTCAGTGCCGCACCCACCACCGTGTCGATGGGACGGACAAGGCGCTTCCCCGAGGACTTCCTCACCACTTCTGATCGTGAAGCTTGACACTCGCAAGAGTTACAAGGATGGATCACACGCCATTTTCAAAATGGGAGTCTCGCCTGAGCGCCGCGCACATGTGACAATTTTTATCCTTCCCAGTTAACGGCCGTTACCCAGGAGGGGGGGGCGGGCGGGAGGGTAACGGTAACAGCAACCGCGGCGTGCGCCCGCCAGGGTACGTCCGCGCCACCAGCGCATCAATCGCCTGTGTACACGACAATGCCCAATGCCTGCGTGCAACACAGCGCCACCTGTGTACACATCACAATGCCTCCGTACACCACAACAGCCGCGTGCACTGCAGCACCACGTCGCCCCTGTACACCGCAGTGCCTGCGTATATGCGGCAACCGTTGTTTATAATAGGATACAGACAAAATTGTTTATTATAAGATTATTACAGGAAACCCTATGGAAAATGGAGCGCCTCTGGGTTCCATTGTTATATAGAACTTGAAAAGACATCGATACGGAAAGCGGAGCGCCTCTGGATTCCACAGAAAAGCCTCTGTTTGATAGAAGAATCCCTCTGGAAATTGGGGCGCCTCTGGATTCCACAGAAAACGAACGTTTTATATACACGTTTTGACAGAATCCCTATGGAAACTGGAGCGCCTGAGGATTCCACGCGCGTGCACCACAATGCCTGCGTACACCACAGCGCCTCTGTACACCACAGCAGCCGCATGCAACACAGCGTCAATGTACACCACAGTGCGTCCGTGCACCACAGCGCTTGCGTACACCACAGCGCCTGCGTACACCGCAGCAGCCGCGTGCAACGCAGCGCCGGTGTGCACCGCGCTGCCTGCGTGAACCACAGCGCCTGCGCACACCGCAGCGCCCGCGAGAGAAGGCGCGGGGCCGCCCAGTCTTCATCTTCTCCATGGCGCTGGGTCTACAACCAGTACGTGCATCAAGGACGGGTAGTAAGGACGCAAGACCCTTGGAAACCGAAGTTAGGATCTGTTGCAGAAAAGCCGGCCAATGAAAGCGGCAAAGGACAGGCCGCAGAGGCAAGGACACAACGGTACCCTGGAGAAGTCGCCGCGTCATTACTAGGCGCGTTGATTGTGTCGCACTGCAACCGAGCACCAGCCAAAAGGAAAAAAGAGAGCCACCGCATTTTGCACTTGCGGAAGAGTGGTCGAAATGGACTGCGGCAGCTGAGCCATCGCCAGCTGCATTGGACGACGACGACGAAGACGACAACAACGACGACGACGACGACGACTCGTGACGACGACGACGACGACGACGACGACGACGACGACGACTGCGAGCGCCAGAAAACGTTTGTGAGCACCAATGCGTGCCGTTCAGACCACGCCATGCCTGTGAGCACAGCACCATACCTGCGGGGGGTCCGACCCCAGCATGTAGGGGGGGGCCCAGGCCCCCCAAAACGATCACCATCGAGGGCGAATGGTCTTCAAGATGTGGTTCCCGCCTGCGCGCCGCACGCACCCGTTCCAATTCCAACACTTGCAACGATGGACAACGAAACGTTTCCAGAATTGAGATCTCGCCCTGGCTCCGCGCACGCTCGTCGTACAAGCGCCTAGCATCCACATTTATGGAGGGCGGGCAACTTTCAAAATGGGGCTTGCACTTGAAACTCCATCCTCAAAATATGACCACAAGTGTAAACTTAAAACTGCTCGACGAATGGAAAGCGGCACTTCTTGTATGGCGATGTCGTGTGGTACTTCTCCACAAGTTGCCACGTTTGCATTCGTATCTCTACTACAAAAAAACTACAAAAAAAAATACACTAACAGAGGGCGGCTCATTGCCAAAACAAGGCTCTCTCTATCTATGTCGCTTTATCTGGGCATTTCCTTGAACTGTCTGGCATTACCTCTTCGCGCTCCTTACAGCTACAAGAGCACCAAGAATCATGTGTTCAAAGCAGGGCTCTAGACTCAAGAGCCGGCCCACCGGGCGCACGTTTTTTCAAGGAGGCACTTCCTGGAGCGAAAGGGAATGCCTGCAGGGACAGGAGAGCGTATTGCACCATCGTTGACGCACCTTGTGTTTCAGTATAGTCGTCCTCCTCTTCGGGGAGGGAGGAGGGCAGGACGGGGGGGGGGAAGGGGAGGAGGAAGAAAAAGGCACGGAGAGAAGAAGGAACGAGGATGTCAAGGCCTCCCCCTGAGAGAAACTCGAATACGCCCGAAATCTGGATCCACAGATCCTCCAAAAAAAAATCGGAGGCCAACGAAATCCCCCTCCCAACCCAAAAAAACAACGAACACGTAGAAAGGTGGGCAAGGATCCTGGACATGTGTAATACTTGGGCGGGCTAAATGTTTGCGCGCACAGAGAGCCAGGTGCAATTGGTGGCGCCCCCGTCGAATCAAGGGTGGCACCCTGAAGTCCCTGGAGATCCACAAGTGTGCTCGGAGTTTCCTTTCCCTTGCCTGCTTCAGTTTTGTTCTGAGTTGTCATGCCGTTGGTTGCAGCGCAATACGCACTGCTATGTCATGATAGACTGTACAATGTTGTAAGCTGGTACGATCTGCAAGCGATGTTGTATAATGCTACGTTATCATGCTACAAAAATTCGTAATCCATGCCATGCCGTAAATTGTAATGTCATGCTGCGACACGCCGCGCTACGCCAAGCTGCGTCGCACTGTGCCATGCTATGGCATGCCGTGGTGCGCAATACTACGAGGTGCCACGCTACGCAACGCTACGGTATACTGCTGTTGTTTTTTGTTCCCCCCCTTTGCGCGCCCTTCCGGATGTTAAACTCCGCATTTACCAATCGTTCGGCTGGCGAGCCAAGGACGCCAAAAGCTGCATTTACCAGTCGTTCGGCTGGCGAGCCAGGGGACTCCAAAAGCTGCATTTACCGGTCGTTTGGCTGGCGAACCGGGGACGCCAAAGGCTGCGTTCTTCAGAGGAGGAGGAGCAGGAGGAGGAGGAGGAGGAAGAGGAAGACGAGGAGAAAATATTGGCCGCGGAGGCCATCGCCCGACTGCCTGTCAGTCTAGGCGCCCGCATGACCACTGCAGTACCAGCGCAGAAAATAAGCAACGCGAGGGGAAAGAGGAGGAGGAGGAAGAGGAGGAGGAGGAGGGGGAGTGGGAGAAGAAACTACACAAATCAAAGGGCCCAAGCGGCCAGCGACATCCCACACAAGCTAATCCCCATGGCACCAGGTTAATGCACAGCGCTAGCTGGCCGACCTTGTGCGGTTCGGCGGAAATGATACTAAACATAGACAACAGCAACGGAGCAGCGGCGGCAGTAGTGGAAGCAAGAGGAGGAGCAGGAGGAGGAGAGAAGGACTACTGCATCGGAGCCCAGGCGCGAGCGACGCAAGCCGTCGCAGCGCCATGTCCGCGAACAATATCCTTGGCCGTATGGGCAACAGCCAGCCAAGCAAGCGGGCCGATGCCCCCTGGAGAGAGGCTGCGGCGGCAATGTGCAATGTACACGGCCGCGAGGCGGATGCTCTTCCCCACCAGCAAATCGCAAACTCCCGTGGAATAGCGCGGCATTAAGATCAAGAAATCCTCCATTGCGCCCGGGCCCACCGGCGCGTCGAGGTGAAGGAAGCGGGCGCCGAACTCGCGGACGACTGGACAGCGCGCATAGTGCTCGACGATGTCCTCGCAGCATACCGTACCAACGCTACGGTATGCTGCTGTGATGTGGTATGCAAAACTATGCTATGGTATGTTGTTCTTGGCTATGATGTGCCAGGCTATGGTGTGATGGCTACGCAGTAAGATGTCAAGCTATGGAACGATACCAATGCTATGATACGCCACAGAATACGATACCATAAAGCATTACGACATGACGTGCCGTCTTGCGATTTGCAGTGCTATGGCATGTGCCAGCCGGTGCTAGGCTGTACCATGCTTTGGTTCCTGTGCGTCGCAGACCACTGCACAGCATTGCACACGCATGCCTTCCAAAGAGGGAACATGTTCTTTAACCACCACCAGCTCAGAGCCCACTCGGCCGCGGGCCTGCCCCGTGCACCCGTGCACCAAGCGCAAGGCGACGACCCGGCCCAGTACAGCGCCCGCGACGCTCCGCGCGCCAGCTGGCGGTGGCTGGACAGGCTCTGGCTCGAGGCTGGTCGCCCTGGCTGGCTGTGGCGAGCTGCCGCGAGGCCTCGGCCTCGCTGCGTTGGCCGAGTCGGCAGGGCCCCCGCTGCCAAGTGCCGGGCGCACGTCAAGACGCCGCCCTGCCACGATTGTGGGCGCCGTGGTCGATTGGGCGGCGCTCTGCCGCGCCCCTCCTCCTCCTCCGCCCTGCTATCCCTACCTCCCTCCTCCTCGCTCCTCCTCCTCCTGCTTCCCTCCTCCTCCCCTCTTTCCCTCCTCCCTCCTCCTCCTTCTCATCCGTACACTTCCCCTATGAAAAAATCCGCCTTGTCGCGCCCCCCAGACGTGTCGGTACAGCGGACCGGGCGCTTCGCCAGAGACCTCTACACCTCTCATGGTCCTGAAGTCTGAAATTCGCAAGAGCTTCCAGGATGGAGGTCGGGTGGTTTTCAAAATGTGGCTCTCGCCTTCGCGCCGCCCACACTCGTCTCAAAAGTTCGCAACAGCTTCAAGGATGAGGGCGTTTTTTTTCACAATCTGGCTATCACCTCAGCGCCGCGCACATTCGCCATAAAAATTTGCAACAGCTATTTAATGGAGGGCGGTCGGTTTGCAAAATGTGGCTCTCGCCTCAACGCCACACACTTGTCTTAAAAGTGCGCAACAGCTTCGAAGCTGGAGGGCGGTTCCTTTTCAAAATGTGGCTCTGGCCGTAGCGCCACGCAAAGTTCGCCTTAAAGTGTGCAACAGATTCAAGGATTCACAAGGCTGAAATCCCAGGAATGGTGCTCTGGGAAGATTTAGACTTGTCAGGACGCAACAATCACGTTGATTCGAAGCGTTGAAATCCCAGGGGTCGTGTTATGGCACCGTTTAAGATTGTCAGGACGCAACAGTAACGTCGATTCGCGGCGTTGAAATTCCAGGAATTGTGTTTTGGCACGTCTGCAGGATCTCAAATGGTTGTCTTCCGATGGGGCCCTTTCCACAATGAAAATATACGACTGCTGGGAACTATGATAAGAGAACTTGAAGAGAGAGTTCATTGCAACGTCGCTGATGCGTACTGAATTACACTGGCCCTCCTCCTCATCCACCTCCTCTTCCTCCTCCTCCTTCTCTGCCTTCCTCCTCCTCTTCCTCCTCCTCCTGCTTCTCCTCCTCCTCCTCCTGCTCCCACTCTTCTTCCTCCTCATCATCCTCCACCCCTTGTTCCTTATGAGTAGCTCATCCCTGTAGAGCGGGCGGGGAGTTTCGCCTGAGACTTCCTCACCATTTATGATCCTGAAGTTTCCAATTTTGTAGCAGTTTCACAAATAAGTGGCGGCTGGTGCTCAAAATGTGATTTACCCTAGCGCCGCGCACACTCGCCTTGAAAGTTCGGAAGAGCTTCAGGGATTAAGGCGGGTGGTTTTCAAAATGTGGCTCTCGCCTGAGCGCCGCGCACATTCGTCATTAAAGGGTGCAAGAGATTCACGGATGGAGGGCGGGTGGTTTTCAAACTGTGACTGTCGCCTTAGCGCCGCGAACATTCGTTCTAAAAGAGCGCAGGAGCTTCACGGATGGAAAGCAGTCGGTTTTCAACATGTGGCTCTCACATCAGCGCCGCGCACATTCGTCGTAAAAGTTCACCGCTGTTTCAAGGATTCTGGTTGTTGACGTCACAGGAAATGCTTTCTGGAACGACTTACACTTGTCAGTGCGCAACAATCATGTTGATTCGCGGTGTTGAGGTCCCAGAAGCGTCGTTCTGGCAAGATTCAGGATAGTAACGTTCATTCGCGGCGTTAATGCTCCAGGAATAATGTTTATGCACGGTTGAAGATTCTCGGATTGTTGCCTTCCAACCAGGCACTTCCCACCGTGAAAGCAGATTCTTCGAACGATATATGATATATGAAGAGGGAACTTGGAGGAAGGGTACATTGCATCATCTTTGATGCGCCTTGGGCCTTGGCTTGCACTGCTCCCCTTCATCCTCCTCCTCCTCCTCCTCCTCCTCCCCCTCCCCATCCCCCTCCCCCTTCCCCTCCCAATCCTCCCCCTTCTCTGCCTCCCTCCTCCCCCTCCTCCCTCCTCCCCATCCTCCCTTCTTCTTCTCCTCCTCCCCCCCTGTCCTCGCGAGGGCCTCCCACGGCGCGCCAGAACGCGCCGAACACGCCGTCCTCCTCCTCGTCGTCCTGCCGCCCGCCCCTCCTTCCCGGCCGCCCCGTGAGCGCTGGAGATCGTGGTGGGGAGGGAGGTGCCAACCGACAGCCTAACCGTTTCACTTCGGGCAGCTCCACGTCTGCCCGCGCGCACCAATACTGCGTACCCCCTTCAGACCTGCGCAACCGACAAGGTCAAGTTTCAATCAGAGGGGGGGAGGGGGGGGGGGCGGGCGGGCCTGATAAACCTGGTGCATCGCTAGACCCTGAAGACAGTCTCCTGGCGGCCAGTGGGGGGAGCTCCACCGCGCATTGTTCGTCGGCGGCGCGCCCAGGGAGCAGGCGGGCCCAGACCTCCGCGAGCCGCGGAAAAAGCCCGAGACGGGAAGTTCTCCAGCCTCTTCGGCCTCCTCCTGCGGCCCTCACGCTGGGCCCTGGGGCCGCCGACAAACAACGACCCGAGAGGCAAAAACTGGCCCATGGGGAGAGGGGGTCCAGACCTGCAGGAGGGGTCCACGCTGCGAAGAATCACAAAACGTCGGGGTCTGGGGAGGGGGTGGGCCTTCTCGGAAGGCTCGGAAGACAGAGGGCCTTCGGCCTTCTGAGAAGCTCTCCAGGCCTTCGCCGAAGACATGAAAGGGCTTCTCGGAAGGCCCGAAGGCTCCTGGGAAGCCCCGCCGCCTTCTAAGGAGGCCTGCCCCCTCCCACTTTCCCCCTCAGCGCGCCGCCGAGCTAGGAGCTCGGAATTCGGCAGAGTATCTGAGGCCTCGCCGATGTAGCGCCGATGCACCAGCGATGCATCAGCGACGTCGGGGGTGCATCGGCGCCGTCGGCGTGGAGAAGATCGGGCTCCGCCTTGGGTCGTATTGATGCGGCTTGATCCTCCGACCCCACCTGCTCGGACCCCACTTAGGAGGCCTGGAATATCGGAGGACATGAAGGGGACGTCAACTGACCACCTCACCGATCCTGGCTGAGCAGACCTTGGGCCCAGAATCGGTGTACGTGCCCCCCCTGGCCAAGCCAGGAGGGCGCAGGCACCGATCCTACGCCCAGGATCGGCCCAGCATGGATCGGTGAAGTGGTCAGTTGACGTCCCCCGAGTCATTACCCACACGGAGAGGCGCACTGCACCGAGTAGCATCACGAATCGTCGAGCAAGGGACCCGAAAGGACCGCGGCCGGCGAGTGGTTACTCGTGGGAAAGCCATGGGCCACCTGCGTCGACTTCTCCCATCCAACGTCCGCGACGTATTTGAAATGGTACTTACCCTGTTCTGGCAGCAGTCCACCGCCTTGTCTTGAGCAAGGACGGAAACAATTCGACTTGCCTTGCGACTCTGTGCGCGAAGCTGCACGTGCGCGTGAACCTGACATCACGACTCCATCCATCAATCCCTCCAGGTCCGCCACAAACAGAGCGAAGCATAGCGATGCACAAGTTTGGGGACCCCTTCTCTGCTCCCATCGACTGCCCCGAAGCAATGCCTGCCACAACGATTGTGTTGTTTCCCGTCTCTGCAAACCCCGCCACCACCACCACCACACCACCACCACCACCACCACAAACACACACACACACACCATCGGAAAAGGGTGAAGACGCAAACTGGGCCGCCAAACAACACTCGACTGATGAAGGAAAGCAGTGCCTCTACCGCAGACGCGACCAGCATGTACGAAGTGCCTGTGTATATATACACATATATGTATAAATGCACACACATGCATGTGTATTGGTTTTGTACGTCATATTTGTATACATGGCAACTCTTCGATGTCGCGACATGTCGTGCGATATCAACGCTGTTCCCCATCACGTTCCCTAAACAGCATAATATCTATGTATATATATAGGTTATACCACAACACAACAAGAGCTCCGATCATGAGTCTTCCGCATCTGCCGATATGGAACTAGTGATGCAATTATTCGGCCAGCGTTCCACATCACGATCTCCCATGACCTTCCGCCACACAAGCAATCCAACCCGCCAAGAGAACCAAAAATCGGCAGCAAGCCCAGGGGGGAAGGCAGAGGGGGCGCGGGCCTTCTCAGAAGGCTCAGAAGGCCTTCGGCCTTCTGAAAAGCTTTGTAGCGTGATCCAAGACACAAGCGGCTTCCCTGAAGGCGCGAGGACTTCTGGGAAGCCCCGCCGCCTTCTGAGAAAGCCTGCCCACTCCCACTCTCCCCTGGGCTCGCCGCCGATAGACAGGAAGCACGAACAAAACAACATGTGCAATTCATAAGAATCCTCCTCTCGAACGGCGCCACCTCGACCGCCGTGCGATGCGCCCACGCGCCAACAGGTCATCAAATGCGTCACGCCCACAGCTCTTGATTCCACCTGACCACGCCGCCGCGGCAGAGAAACCGTGGGCCACAACCACTAACTAGCCACAGACCATCGGTTCCGCCCAGCCCAGTCCGCGTTCCACAGGCTACGCCACCTTGGTCGCCGCGCCGCAGACCACGAGCCAGGCGCAGATTTCACTCGACCCCCTGGCTCTGTGCTCACAGGGCACATCGCTACGACTGCTGGGCCATGGGCCACGGGCCACGGGCCACGAATCAGGGCTGAACCTAAACGGTGTTTTTCGCGTTCGCTTTGTTTTCGTTTTCCCTCGTTTTGTCTTCAATCCACCTCTACCGCAAAACGAAGTCGAAACGAAAACGGCCCACGGAATCGCCAAAACACCGTTTAGGTCCAGCCCTGCCACGAATCACCAACTCCAAACGATCCACCGAATCCGACCTCACAAGACAACACCATCCCGGCCGCCCCACCACGGGCCACGGACCACGGGCCGCCGATTTCAGTCGGCCCGCAGCCAATTCTGCAGGATGCAAAGTCGACTGCGCAGTTATAAACGGCTCCGCAGCCACTGGGTGCCCAGAATATGTGACTTGCCCTGCTGGCAAGCATTCGCTTGAAAAACTGTTCCCGCACCCCTCGCGGGAACTGGCCCGGCAAGTTTCTCGAACCGCTTCTGGTCGTTATGACGAGGAGCCCATCAAACAAGGTACAACGTAGAAAAAATGCGCGAGGACAGATTGGCAGGCTGCAGGGGGCGTACCTCGGGCCTCCGAAGGCCGCTCGGGGCGTCGCCGGAGAGCTCCCGACGAGGCCAGGCTTACGGAAAACCTGTGCACACACACACACACTTTTTGGTCGGGGGGGCGAGAGCGAACCTCTTCTGCTAAAAGCTAGAACACACACACACACACACACACACACACACACACACGCATACACACACACACACACATTCACACACACACACACACACATTCACACACACACACACACACTCTCTCTCTCTTACTTTTCGGTCGTCGCGGGCGGGCGCAGCGCCTCGCCGTCCAGCCCGCGCGCGGAAGACCACGCGCGCGCCCAGCAGCCAGAGGGGGAAGAATGGAAAAAAGCGGCCAGCCCCTCACGGCGCAGTGGCCGGGAGCGGCGCAGGGGCGCCCGAGGGCAGCGGGCAGCGGGCAGGCGGCGGAGCGGGCAGGCGGGAGGAGCGGGGCTCGGCGGCCGCAGCGCGGGCGCCGCGCGGGGCGGCGGGGCAGGGCAGGCGAGCAGCAGGGAGCCGCCGAGCAACGGCAGCGGAGCCACCGGGCCGGCGGCGAGGAGCGCCACGCCAAAGCAGGCGGCGGCCGGGGCGCAGGCGGCGGCCAGGGCGCAGAGCGCCGGGGGGCCGGGCAGCGAGCGGACACGTCAGAGCGAGGCGGGCAGGGGCGGCGCCCGCAGGAGGCGGAGCCGGGAGGCGGCGGCCGCGGAGCACCAAGACAGGCGAACCGGCAGGGCGAGGGCAGAGCAGGCGGCGGAAGAGAGCAGAGGCGACGCTGGCGTGCAGCCAACCGTCGCGGCTCCAGCAGGGCCCAGGAGCAGGGGGGCTGAAGCGGCGGTGATGCGATCACCGCTGAGGGACGCCCCAAGAGATCGAAGCGCGCAGCGGCCGAGGCGGCAGAGACCTGCGGAGACATTAAGCGCAAATCGGCGCCGCATGCGGGCAGGTCCGCGCCCGCGAGTCCGCGGGAGCGCTGTGAGGGGCAAGGGCAAAGCGATCGCCGCTGCGCTGAGGGCCCTCCCAGGAGATCGAGCCAAGCCAAAGAGGGTGGGCGGCCACAGCAGCGGGCTGACCGACAGCGAGGCGCTGGCCGCAGCAAAGAGCCTGCGAGCGCCACCTGCGCCATGAGCGGGCAGATCCACGCACGGAGCAGCAGGTAGGCGCGGCGAGGCGCCAGCGCGGCGTAGCGGAGCCGCGCCCAATGAGGGGACGCGGAGAAAAAGCGGGGCGCAAGTAACGGCTCCGAAATCACGAGGCGCCACCGCGGCCGAGCAAGACCTGGCCCGCGGGAGACGCCGAGGCGAGCGAAGTGGCAGCAGATGAGGCGCGCAGCGAGCGCGCGGGGGCGGCCAGCAGGAGAGGCCAACAGGCGGCCACGGTGCGAACAACGCACAGGCGGCCACCGAGCGGGGCGGAAGCAGATGCCCGGGGGAAAGGCAGAAGGGCGAGAGACCCACGGGCGCAGCAAAGCGGAGCCAGGCGGGGTCCCAGCGCGCGCGGGCAGATCCACGCCCGAGGCAGCGAGGCACAGGCGCACTGGCCGTGCAGCCCGGCGCCAGAGAGGCGGGCGGGACACCCGGAAGGGCCCGCCAGGGGGGCAGAAAGGCAGGCGCCGAGCCAGCGCGCGCCCGGCCGGGGACGGCGCCAGGGCGCGGCAAGCTGTGCCCGAGGCTGCCAGGAGCCCGGAGGGCGCGGAAAGGCAGGCGACTGACTCAGCTGCCGTGCACGCCCCTGCCGCCATTCGTCGAAGGCGGGCTGGAAGGCGTCGTCCATCTCTTGCGCAGTGGGCGAGGGAGGAGCCGACCTGTGGGTGCCGATCGGCGTGATGACCATGTGGCGCTCACGCTCCTCGTCATCCGCCCCGTCGTAGTCAGGAGCGAGAAGGGTCGTCGTTGGCGAGAAACAAAACTGATCCCGTCATGACCGAACCAGCCCTTCTGACTGTGTGAAGAGGGGCCGCGACTGCTGCTGCTGCTGCTGCTGCCGTCCGCTGGGGAAGCGGGCCAGGGGGCGGGGTCAGCAGTCGCCCTCGCGCTCATGGGAGGACTGGGGTTGCATGAGATGATGTCGCACATCTCCTGGACATCGATCGCAGGGCCAGGGATGCTTGTGAGGAGGAGACCCCTCTGGGCTGCCATTTCGTACTCATTGAGGGGAGCTGCGCCAGGTCGCCGCCGTCCCGCAGGTAGTTGCGAAGCTCCCGAATGCTACAGAGGGGCCTGATCGTCACACGCTGAAATTGAATAACCCAGGGCTAACCCAGGGCCAGCCGCAGCAGCTGTGACACATGCCCAAGCTGCAGCAATCACAAAAGAATGTCCCAAACATCCGATTTCTTCAGCTTCTCGATACGAGATCACTGGAAGCCTGGACCTTTCCCCCCAGGGCTGGCTCTTTCTCCCGAGTCGTTGTTTGACGGCTCTGGGACCCGGCAAGGGCCCCCTGAGGCAAAAAAAGAAAGAAACAAAAACGAAACACTGCATATTGAATTCCTTGAGAGATGTCGGAGGTGTGAGTTCGAGCGCCGTGACCACAAGCGGCGGTCACAGAGAAGAGCCACCGAGAATCGAAATCTCAAGAGGCGAGCGACGACGACCAGGGCGACGAGGCGCCACAGAGGCAGGGCCACGAACAGGGGGCGATGGCGCTGCGCGCACGTTCCCCATTCGGCCTGACTTCTTGGGGGCTTCAACATGCTTACGTATGCATGTATGTGTATATATATAATAAAATAAAGACGCGTATACACACGGTCGAAAACTTGTGCTTAGCGTGTCGCGGCGGCGGCCCCAGCGACACGCTATGCCCTGCAAGCGGATTGCGTGACGCTCCGCTCCGCGTGGCGGGAGGCTGGGAAAAGCTCGGGACGTTGAAGCTTGGGAAGTCAAACGTGGTCAGCGGTTAGCGTGTCGCGCCGAGGCGTGGTGGGTCAGAATCGGCGGTGCGACACGCTAAACAGAAGTTCGCGACCTGACAGTTGGAGGGAGAAGAGGTGAGCGGACTTCCCAGCGATAGCTTCCACAAGCGGCGCAAAAAAGATGCTGTGTGGAGCAGGCGGGAGGGCGGAAATGCAGGCAGGTAAAAGATGACGAGCGGAGGGGGGAGGAAAGAGGAAAGCCAGCTTGCGTCTGCGACGAATTTGCTTTTAGGGGCTCCCATATTTGAAGAATGTTCAATCACTTCCATCAGAGACGTTCGCAAACATTCGTCAGCCTTCGCACCAAGCCGTCGCGGCGTCGAGATAGCGTCGAGATGATGAGGTAAGCATCTCGGTCAAAACGGGGCTCGAGATTCCTTGGGCTTTTGTTCTGCGGGACCAAGCAGAAAATCTATACACAGCTCGGGGAAGAAGGAGTGCAAATCCTTATCCTTTAGATAACCGAGCAGATCCGACTAGCCAGACTCCTTCTCCTCCTCCTCCTCCTTTCCTCCTTCACCTCCTCTTCCTCCTCCTCCTCCTCCTCATCATCACCATCACCATCATCATCCTCATCCGCCTCCTCCTCCTCCTCCTCCTCCTCCTCCTCATCCTCATCCTCATCCTCCTCCTCCGCCTCCTCCTTCTCCTCTTCCTCCTCCTCCTCCTCCTCATCATCAGAATCCCAACCTCCTCCTCCTCCCCATCATCATCATCAGAATAATCATCATCATCATCATCATCATCATCATCATCATCATCATCATCATCATCATCCTAATCATCATCATCAGCATCATCGTTAACATCACCACCACCACCACCACCATCATCATCATCATCATCATCATCATCATCATCATCATCATAAGCATCATCATCATCATCAGCATCATCATCATCATCATCATCATCATTCCTCATCCGCATCCTCATCCTCCTCATCACCATAAGCAGCAGCAGCAGCATCTTCATCATCAGCATTATCCTCATCATCATCATCCTCATCATCATCCTAAGCATTATCATCATCGGCAGCAGCAGCAGCATCAGCATCAGCATCATCATTATCAATCCCTCCCTCCCTCCCTCTCTCTTCTCCCTCCCTCTCTCCCTCCCTCCCTCCCTCCCTCCACCCACCCACCCACCCACCCACCCGCCCCACCCCTTTACGTTCCCCTCCCAGTGGGAGGAGGAGGTGGAAGCCTCCCACATCCTCCTTCGAAAGCGGCGAAGCCAACCCCGAAGCCGCCGACGCCGACGACGCCCACGGCGACCGTGAAGCCGCCGCCGATGCTGACGTCGACACCAGCGTCGACCCTGAGATGTGACGTCGAAAAAAGAAATACCCCAGTGCGACCCTACATAGAAGTTGGAGCCCCTAGGAAAGCAGCATTAGTTGCTATGCTATGCTATGCTGTGCTGTGCTGTGCTGCGCTATGCTATGCTATGCTATGCTATGCTATGCTATGCTATGCTGCGCTGTGCTATGCTATGCTGGGCTATGCTATGGTATGCTGTGCTGCGCTATGCTATGCTACGCTATGCTATGCTATGCTGTGCTCTGTTATGCTAAAGCTCAGCGAAGCTAAGATGAAGGTAAGTCAAGCTAAGATAAACCTGAGCTAAGATAAAGTTAAGCTAAGCTAAGATGAAATAAGCTAAGCTAAGATGAGATAAGCGACGCTAAGCTAAGGGGACGTAACTGGGAAAACCGCGGGGCGATACTGGGGGAACCGCCCGGGGCGCTTTCCACTGCCCGGCCCCTTTAAGCCCAGAGAGTAAGAACCCTTCTAGGCAGAGCCTAGGTAGGGAACATTCACCATCGCGAGAAAACACACACGGAGCCCTAGACCCCATCTTCGTGAACAGTTTTTCAAGCTGGATCGATATGTGATGGCCCTGGGACCCGAAATACGAAAACGACGACAAGTGGGAGAAAATTGCAGTGCCCGAATCTCAGCGGACGCAGACGACGACACCAACGACGTTGACGGAGGCGACGCCGACGAAACTGACGACGACGACGACGACGACGACGACGACGACGGCGGCGAAACCCACAAACCCTCGCCGTTGTTTTTAAAAACGCGGTCACCGGAAGTTCCGTTCCCCAGGGCCCGTTCTTCATCCCGAGCTGTTTTGACGGTCCCAGGGACCAGCGACGGCCCTTGGAGGCCGAAAATGGCCAAGAATCTCCCGCCGTTATTTTGTGACGACGCGCGGCGACGCTGACGACGCCGCCGCCGCCGCCGCCGGCGAAGCCCGCCGGGCGGGCGAGTCCTCCTCACCGCGGAGGGCGGCCGCGAGCTCCTGCCCAACCTGGGGGCCGAGCGCCGCGGAGAGGTGCTCCGCGAGGTCACACTCCGCTACCTGCCAGCCCTGCCTTTCGTCGCCGCTGGCAGCGCCGACGTCGTCGTCGTCGTCGTCGTCGTCGTCGTCGCTGCCTGAAGGGCTTGCGCTCCCGCCCAGAAAAAGGTGGCCGCACAAAGGACCATCTGGAGGCGCGTGGGAAGCAATCTAGTAGTAGTTGTGCCAATCTTCAACGCAACATTCAAACAAACAGTTTTTGAAGCAACGTGATCAGCCCAGCTGCATATCCGAGGGTGTGTGCAGGGCTGGGGATATGGTTCGAAAAACGGACTCGAAACAGTCGTCCTCCTGAGCATCACGATCATCATCATCATCATCATCATCATCATCATCATCATCATCATCATCATCATCATCATCATCATCAAGTTCGTCCTCATCCCTCCCGTCATGATCATCCTCCCCTCGTCTTGCATTTATCAGCATCGCATGCATAATCTCCCTTCATCCCTCTTCCTTGTCATCATCAATCTGGCCCCCATGTTCCTTCTCCTGGCTCCTCACTCCTACGTTTTCCCGCTCCTCATCCTCGTTGTTCATTGTTCCTCCTGTCCCTCCGCACGATGCTCCTCCCGCTGCATGCTCCTGCTGCCTCCTTTCCTGCTAGCTCCTCCTGCTGCCTACCTTTATGTAGGCTCCTCCTGCTGCATGATCCTCCTGCCTCCTCCTCCTCCTCCTCATCGCCTCCTCCACCTCATCCACAACTACATCATCCTGCCTCCTCCTGCTCCTTCTCATCCTCCTCCTCATCCTCCTCCTCATCCTGCCTCCTACACCCTTTTCTTCCTCGTCGTCGTCCTCGTCCTCGCCCTCAGCTTAGTCCTCCTCCCTCTCCCCCTCCTCCTCGTCATCATCAAATAATAATCGTCATCGACATCACCGTCGTCATCATCGGAATCGGAATCATACTCCGAATCATCATCATCATCATCATCATCATCATCATCATCATCATCATCATCATCATCATCAGCAGCATCAGCATCATCATCATCAGCATCATCATCATCATCATCAGCATCATCATCAGCATCATCATCATCACCATCATCATCATCATCATCATCATCATCATCGTCATCATCATCGTCATCATCATCATCATCGTCAACATAGTCATCAGCATCATCACCCATCATCATCATCATCATCATCATCAGCAGCATCAGCAGCAGCAGCATCTTCGTCATAGTCATAAGCATAATCAGCATCCTCATCATCATCCGCTGCATCAGCATCATCAGCGTCATCGTCATTACCAGCAGCAGCATCACCACCACCATCGTCACCATCACCACCACCATCATCATCATCATCATCATCAGCATCATCGTCAGCATCATCATCCTCATCATAATCATCATAATAATCAGCATCAGCATCATCATCGTCATCATCATGATATATCATCATCATCGTCATCATCATCATCAACATCATCATCATCAGTATCGTCATCGTCATCGGCATCGGCATCGTCGTCGTCGTCCAAATCATCATGGCCAACTTCAGCCGCAGCAGCAGCAGCGGCATCATCAGCACCATCAGCAACAATATTGTCATAGTCATCCTATCCCCATCGTCATCATCATCAGCATCATCATCGTTATCAGCATCAACATAATCATCAACATCATCATCAACAGCAGTACCGCTATCATTAGCAACATCCGCATCCGCATCAGCAGCAGGATCGGCATTAGCACCAAAATCATGTTCCTCCTCATCCTCTTGATCCTCATCCTCGTCCTCCTCATCGTCCTCCTCCGTCAGGAAAAAGTCTTCCTGCTGCTGCGGATGGGGCGGCCAGTTTGCAAGTCGGGTGGCCGCTCGAGGAGGAGAAAGGGGAGGAGAACGAGGGAGAGGAGGAGGAGGAGGAGGAGGAGGAGGAGGAGGAGGAGGAGGAGCAACAGCAGCAGAAGGAGGGAGAGGGAAAGGGAGGAGGGAAGTGGAAGGGGGAGGAGCGATGTGAGAGGAAGAAGGGGGCCCCAGGAGGCTCTTCAGAGGCCCCAGGAAGCTCTTCAGAGGGGCCCAAGTGGCGTTTCAGAGGTGCCCAAGAAACCCTTCAGGGGGGCCCAGGGGCTCTTCAGGGGGGCAAGACGCTCTTCAGGGGGGCTAAGAGGCTATTCAAAGCCCCCCTCCCAGAAGCTCTTCCGGGGGCCCAAGGGGCTCTTCAGAAGCCCGAAGACGCTCTTCAGAGGCTCTGCAGAGGCCCCAAGAGGCTCCTCAGAGGCCCCAGTGAGCACTTCAGAGACCCCAGTGAGCTCTTCAGATGCCCAAAAAAGCTCTTCGGGGCAAGGCGCTCTTCAGGAGGCCCTAGAAGCTCTTCAGAGGCCACCCAGAAGCTCTTCAGAGGCCCCAAGCGGCTCTTCTGAGGGCCCCAAGAAGCTCTTCAGAGGCCCCAAGATGCTCTGCAGAGGCTCTTCAGAGGCCCTAAGACGCTCTTCAGAGGGCCCAGGAGGCTCTTTTGGAGGGACCAAGAAGCTCTTCAAGGAGCCTCCAGGGGGGCCCAAGACGCTCTTCAGAGCCCGCTTCACCGTTCTCGAGGATTCATATACTTCGGAGAACCCTTGGCCGCACTGAAGCCCACCAGGCCGCACAAAAGCTCATCTGCCCGCAATAGAACCTTATCTCCTGCAACTCAGGGGGGCCCCCCGGTTCAAACCCCCTCTCGCCCCTGTGGGGGGGGGGGGGCCACGGTTCGAACCCCCCACCCCACATGCAATTCAGGCCCCCCCCCCGGTTAGAGCCACCTCCCCCACTTCCAAGCTCCCACAGAACGCGCTAATTCAGCATTTCCGACATTCCTGGTGGACGTCTCATCACCTTGAGAGTCCAAGCAGCGAAGGCTCAGGGGAGCTTCCCTCTACCGCTTACTACAAGTAGGGCTGGCTGGAAGCAAGATCCGCTCGTGCTAACAAGTGTAGATTCGCTTAAGACGTGTACTTCGATGCTTGAGGAAGGCCAGTTAACCAGAAAAGTCCTGGAAGGGCTTCTGGAGCAAGCCATTCAGCATGCTAAGAAGCCTAGACCTTGGATTTCCACCAAGGACCTTTGATGGCACTAATTCTCACGATGAGGAGGGTGGGTAGGAGCTTTCGAGAGGTGACTTTGTAAGTGGATGACTGGGGGAAGTGGGATATGATGGTCTATGCGCCTGTTTTTGTTAGCGCAGTTTGTGTCGTACTCAGCAAGGCGTGCTTCTGTCAGGAGAGCGCTGCAGGTGCATGGCAAAGGAGGTCCGTGGGACTCGGAGCTGTCCTGGAGGCCAACCTTGGAGCGTTTGTTCGCCAAGCCCTCGGAAGCTTGACCTCAGCATGATCATAATGTCTCGAATGAGCCCATCTCGGGCTCCAACTGGAACCAGTTGCTGCTGAATAATAAGAATGAGTCAACACTCTCAGACGTTTGCTGGCTTTGTCCAGGAGGGCACGGCACCTTCTTCCACAGGGCGTGTCATTGCCATGCCCACGAAGCATGGAGGCGAAATAATCCGTGTGCATAAGAAGATAGCGCAGGGTCCCTTTCAGTGGCAAAAGAAGCTTTCGAGAACGATCTGCCCGGACCCCAGCCAGTACTCTAAGAGGCTGGCTGGTAAGGCCGAATGGGAGGCTCGATACAGAGACGGGGACATGCATGTGCTGTTAAAGGAAGATTCGTGGTTGTCGATGGTTCAGGATTCCATGGGGATCTTCCGTTGATCCGATAGATGTGCGGGCTGGGCGGCAGTCCTTTTCGATGCAGAGAGGCCGCGTGCTGGTGTGATCTGTGGGGCTGTTCCACCCCCCCCTGTTGGGGTCCCAGCTTGTATCCCGAGATGGGGAAGATAGCGCGGTCCTAAAAGTATCGGAGCTGGCTGTTGGGCAGTGTTATGTGCTGTGCGATTGCAAAGGGACCATCAGCTGCTGTACTAAGCATGCAATGGTGCAGGCTCCGTCTGATGTAAGGGCCCATATGTGTGGTCCAAAGAGCACTCGCGTGATGACTTTAAGTAGAAGCCGCTGATGTACGTCAAGGGTCACGCGACCCTAAAGGACGAGCAGGCTGACAAGATCGCTCAGTTCCACCGTTTGGGGAATTCTAGGGCAGACGAGTTCGCTAAGAAACGCTGCAGGCACGAGCGTGCGAGTCCGATGTCCACGCCCTGGAAGCAGTTCGTGCTGTAGCTAGACTGATTCCCAAGTATGTTGCCAGGTGCACGGCCATGACGGTCGAGACTGGTAAGGGAGACCACAAGCCAATTGACTGGTTCAAGAAAGCAGATCTTGAAGACCCTGCCGAGCCCCAACATTCTTCTCCTGTGGTTGAGCCTCCTGCTACTGCTGCTGCCTCCTCGGGAGGTTCGGCGGGGTATCTGGGGGAGGCCGCCATGGCAGAGGGGTGCTCAACCACAACTCTTGGAAGGTTAACGGTCACTGCATCCTTTTCGGCCCAGGTCCCCAAAGGGGACCAGGTCCTGTGTTGGTCCTCGTGCTGGAACTCTGCGATCCAACAAGACCAGAGAGGCTTCAAAAGGCAGTGGAAAGGGCCCCGTAAAATGACAGGCGGGCCGCGTTCACATCCCGCAAGGGGCTCCAGAGGGGTGGGCACCCCACGAAAGCTGGCTCGTGTGTCGTCAATGTTTGGAATTCCTCGGAAGCCACCCAGGTGAGCTGGTCCAGCCACTTTGGCGTGGCGGTGGGAGGAGTCTGTGAGCAGACTGGCCAGAGCGTGCGTCCTGTCAGTGAGAAGTCGGCTCCAGGGAGGCTGGACCTGGCGGCGGTGTCGTGTGTGCCTTCGGGTTGGGTTCCCGTGAGGAGGTGGAAGAGATAGGCGTGCGCGAGCTGGAAGCTCGGGCGCTTGCTCAGTCTGGAAGTCCAAAGGAAAGTCCAATCCAGGGGCGATGTAATGTTGTCGGGGGGGGCGGCTTGTCGGCGGACCCTGCCTGAGGGAAAGGAACCCCAGGTAGGGAACAGGAACAACAAGTCCTCCTTGGATCTCACCCCGTGGTCCTTCCCTCTCCCCTGACGCCTTCCCTCGATGGGCAATAGACCCCCTCCTCACCACCATCATCCCCATGACCCTCAACATCCCCACCATGGTTACCCAAAACTTGTGGCACACGGGACGGTCTCCCGTGCCCCCCTCGAAAAATCGCCACCCAGAATGCTGGGCTGGCACGGTGGCGGGAACTGCCGCCGTTAGCTGGAGACTCGGCACATGAAGTGCGTACCGGCTACAAATGTAAAGGAGCAACGCAGTGTCACGAAATGGAGCTACCGCGTGGCGCATTAATGGACGTGCTAGATTCCTACATGTGGTCTATGTTCTGCCTGGCCGCAGGGATGGATGGCGATTCGAATGGCGGGCCCGTGCTGCGCTCGCATGACGTGAGGGCGTGCCCCGTCGTGAAAAGGATCACGTGCTCAGACGATTGAGGGCGTGCCACGAGAAGGTGCGCTGCCGAATCGTTGATGCGCATTGGGTGTACTATGTTCCGCCCACACTTCCTCATTATCCTCCTCATCCTTATCCTTCTCATCCTTCCCATCACCATTAGCATCATCATCACCACCAACACGACCACCAACAACAACAGAATCATCATCATCATCATCATCATCATCAGCATCATCATCAGCATTATCAGTATCATCATACGCATCACCATCGAAATATTCATCATCAGCGACAGCAGCATCATCATCATCATCTTAATCAGAATCATCATCAGTACCATCACCAGCATCATCAACAACAATATCACCATCAACATCATCATCGTCATCATTACCACCACCACCATCACCACCAGCATCATCATCAGCATCGTCGTCATCATCATAACCACTATCACCAGCATAACCACAATCATCACCATTATCGCCATCATCCTCATCATCAGCATAATCATCACCATCGTCGCCGTGTTCCTCGTATGTATCCGTCCACTGCCCCGCCTCCCACCATCAACAAATACTCACTATAAGCACTACTCACATCTCCCATCTGGTGGTGTGTGTTGTTATAGCTGCCCTATCCCGCTTGTTGATGCGGAACGACACGACTGTCCCGAGATGGCGCTCGATTTGGTTTTTCAACCAAAGCTTTATCAGCCTCTTAGTCGTTGCGCCACCCCGTTGGACACGTTCCAGGGTCGGCGCTTAGCCCCCATTTGTTCACAATAGCACTCTCGCCCCACCGCGGCCCATTCTTTTTGATCCGATGTCTTCCTCGTCAGTGCCGCTCCCCCCTTCCCCCCCTCCACATTCCCATCTTCCTCCTGCCCCCCTCCCGCATCATACTCCGACGCCTGATACTGCTCACTCATCATCGTCATCCTCTTCCTCCTGCCCATCCGCCTGGTCATGTGCCGCCTCATCCCCCTACCCTTACCCATCAGCATCATCATCGGCATCGTCATCAGCATCGTCCCCGTCATCATCATCATCATCATCATCATCATCATCATCATCAGCATCATCATCATCATCATCATCATCATCATCATCATCATCAGCAGCATCATCATCATCAGCATCAGCATCAGCATCAGCATCAGCATCAGCATCACCATCGTCATCATCAACCACATCACCATCACCACCGCCACAAGAATCATCACAATCATCGCCACCCCCTATCACTACTCACTGTACAGAGCTCCAGGCTCTGCGCGCGCATCACATGATGGGGTAACTTGGGGGGGGGCATCTGCGTCCAATAGGCCACCCGTCGGCGGCTAGAAAGGAATCAGCGCACTGAAAAAGGATGGATGGGAGGGGAGGTGTCAGAGAAGGTACGAACGCACCTACATGTTCCACTTCCCTCTCCCGCATTTCCCTTCTCCTTCCTCCCCCTCCCCCACCATAGCAAAACTCGCCATGGTCGTTCACCACCTCCTCACCCGCCCCTACTACCACTACGACTACTACTACGACTACTACTACGACTACGAGTACTACTACTACTACTACTACTACTACTACTACTACTACTACTACTACTACTACTACTACTACCGATACTATCACTACTGCTACTACTACTACTACTACTACTACTACTACTACTACTACTACTACTACTACTACTATTATTACTACTACTACTACTACTACTACTACTACTACTGT